AATTCCAGTTTTATATTATTTATGCCTCTGAGTGTTTTGACTCCTCTTACCTCAGATGTTCATTTACTCAGAAGATTCATGGTTGAAACTGTTTTTCATTTGCTGAAGACGGAGCTGTAACTTGTTCCTTCACTGACTCATCAAACCTTCACAGGATCAAAGTTTTATGAAATTTTAAACAATTTTCTCTTTGATTAAATGAAGATGATGATGATACCAGCTTGATTTCACGTTCATCTTTTCTACTGTGGAGGTTTTACATTATGACATCAGACATTCAGACCTTCATAACGTCTCATTTTTAATGTTCAGAATTTTAAAAATTGATTTTATTATTTTATAATTTGTGAGTGAAGATGTTGGACACCTCCTCCTTTCATTCACCTTCATGGCAGCTGTCACTTCCTTCAGTTTATTGTTGGTAATAATTGTTTGTGACACAGTTTTTGTCCTGACTTAGTGAAATAAGTGTTTGAAGTGACACAAGCTTGTGTTGTGTTTTCAGTGCTGGCTGCGTCTTGGTATTTCACTCCTGCTGCTGGTAAGTCACAGTGATAACGAGCTGCATGTAAAATGTATTGTTACTCATTTTAATTAATACGGCAATGATTGGACCTTAAAGGAAAACTTCTGTTTACATTGTTCACACTCATCGCTTTAACTCCTATCACTATTATTATTTTCTTCAGGTAATAACTTTTTATATTCATTATACTTCAAACTTTTATAATTAATATTTAAATACTGATTATTTTGAATGATGTTTTCACTTTTATCAAGCACATGACAATAAACCTGAAACTTTAGGTTTAAGACTCAATAATGGAAGATAGCTTATATCTTTTTTATTTCTATGGTATTTAGAAATAGTTTTTCAAATTCTATTATTTATTCATGAATAAATAAATGTTTTTATAAATGTTTTATCTAATGAGAGTTTTATGTTGTTTCTGTAAATCCATTTTTAAATCTGAAGTATTGATTGATGGATTAATCGTTCATTTATAAATTCTTATTACAATTCCTGTTTTTAATGTCTATTAAAATATGAAATGAATTTTCCTGTGACGTCCCTGGTCCTCCATAATCGACCTGTAAAAAAAACACTGACCAGTAAACGATGATGATGATGATGATGATGATGAAGTCATTTCTTGCACTCTGACCTGTGTGTGTTTAAACAGAGGGAGAGGTCATCTACGCCTGTCTCAATGACACTGCTGTGATGTCATGTGGTAAGAACACACTCATCGTCACTGTGCTGTTGTCATGGTGAACCTCCACCTAAATCACAACATCATAACTCACCACGAAACGACCAACTGTCGGTTTGAAACTTTGGTTTTTCTTCAGACTCAATGAACCAGATACAACGTGTTAAACAGTGAGTGTCAGAGCCGAACCACGACCAGCCAGCTCCTTCCCACAATGCTGTGTTTTCATCACCAAAATAAACATTTCATCCTGTCTTGTGGGACATTGTGTTCTTGGGGGCCCCCTGGTGGCCACAGCAGTGTGTTAGAGCTGCTCGATTAGGGCTAAAATCATAACCATGATTATTTTGATCAATATTGAGATCAGGGTCATTTAACAGGATTATTCATTAAGCATTTATTGGACTTTTAAAAGAAAACTTTGTCTTTTTAACAGTGGACTTTCTTAAACTTTAAATACAATTCAACGGAAAAACAAATAAGAAAATAAATAAAAAAGTAGATAGATAGATAGATAGATAGATAGATAGATAACAGACTCTTAACTTCTCTCCTCCAGACGTCAACACCAAGATAAACCTGGATTACATCCTGTACAAGGTCGGCGTGGGGACGAGGTGCGGGGAGGGAAAACGCCACCCAGACGACGGGCCCGACACCTACTGCTCCTTCCCCTGGGCCGAGATGGTGGTGGAGGATCTGTAAGAGCAGAACTGACGCTCAGTCTGATTTATTGATTAATTATTAATTAATTTAACTCAAAGGGTGGAGTGACACCGACAGAACCAGCTCTCCTCTCCCTGTTCTGGTTCTGACTTCCTGTCTCTGCGTCTCCAGCTGTGGAAACAGGAGGTCCTGCGAGGTCCCCGTCACCGAGCTGGTGTTTGGTGAATATCCCTGTAAGGAGCAGACCAGATACCTGGAGGTGTCCTACACCTGCGCCAAACCACCTCCTCCCCCTCCACCACCACCTCCTCCAACCAAGCCTGACTGTACGCACACACACACACACACACACACACACACACACACACACAGTTCATGTGAATATAAACACGGTTCACTGGTGATTCAGTCTGAACTCCTATAATCACATGAATAAATTCAAACTGTGCTTTCATCAGATCAGATCCAGTATCATCATTTTGTCTACAAACAGGAAGTGGAGGAGGCCTGAGGGGGGGCTCTGGGCCTTATCCTCTGATCCTCTCCTTTGTCAGCTGTGTGGACGTTGCGCCCCCTGCTGGCTCATTTTCACACCAGCTCTCCTCTTGTTTCTGCTGAGCGCAAAGATCCTGACACGTGACTCTCTCCGTGTTTCTCTGCAGGTGAAGACAAACCGGCCGCTGAAGCCTGATGCTTCTAAAACTTTATTGTTCATCGCCGTGGACAGAACAGTCTGAAGACACGTCACCTCCACGTCGGTGCTGACGATGATATTTAAAAATGAAATATTGATAATGTGTTAATGACACATCTGATGATATCATGACGGCAGATGTTTGGCCTCGTGGTTCTGTTCTTTATCACGTCATCTTGTCGCCTTTATACGAGCCATTCGGTGTAACTGTTGTCATGGTTACAGACTCTCTCCACCTCGGATCTGAGTCTGATTCATCTGACAAGAAAGAGACAAAACACAAAGTTAAAGATGAATTCTTTCTCCATAGATATTGTGATTATGTCGTCAGTTAAAATCTGATATTGTGAGTTTTAACAAACAGAGATAATCTGATGTTTTATAGTCTCTATGTCTCTATCTATAAAACTTATTTCATCTCATTTAAAGTCAATAAAATAAATACTTGGTGAAACAGATCGTGTTTTCTTCTCTTTCTTACTACTGTAGAAAGCAGTTGCCATTGAGTATCTGCTCTGAAGCCATTTCTATCACATCACATGGTCTTCACCAGCAGCTGGAGTTTAATCTGTTTTTTCAGAATTGTAGATTTTGAAATTTTAATTTCCTTTTGTCCGAGTGTAATTAATCCATGTTTACATTCTTATAAATCATATATGTATGAATCTTTATTATTGTTTTTAAACTCGGCAGCTGGAGCGGAATCAGTTGATTAATCCATCAGTTTATCGACAGGAAATGAATCAATTCATTGTTGATTGGTGTTTAGAGGCAGTGTCAGAAAAGTGCTTTAAAAAAGACTAAATGTTTTTCCACTTGTATAAAATCATCAGTGTGAGAGAAACAGCTCATGTAGTATTGACATATTCCCTGTGGGTGGCGCTGTCGCTCTGTCCAACAGGGTTTATTGATACTGTTTATATCCTGTAAAAGTCACATTAGATAGAATAAAGTAAAGTACATTTTGAGTCTAAGTATTTTACCATTGTAAGTTGTAATAATGAAATAAAAGTTTTGAACTGACACTTTTAATGATCATTTATCATTTTAGTTTTTATATCAATTACCTGTAAATGTGTTTATTTGTTTAGTTTGTTGAAATTTCATGTTCATTCTTTGACTAAAGCAAAACCACTGTTAGCTGCTCAAACTGTCCTGATGGTCTGGTGAATCTTTGTTGCGTTGACTTCTGAGTGACATGGTTAGCATGTGTCAAGGTGTGTTTAGCTAATATATGTTGTTTTTAGTTCAAAATAGGTCAAACATGCAGCTAATTTTGTCCCATAGCAACAACAGATGCAACAATAATTGCTCACAGTGACACAGAAAATACAAACTAGTTATTTTGTGAGTCTCTCATTGTCTTATAATATATTTGCCTATTCTTTTTTTATTATAAGCAATAAAATAAACAATTGTGTGTATTTTAACTCAAGGTGAAGACCTATGTTCTGTACAATACGAAATCAGTAACTGTTGATTGATAAATATGATCTCATAAATCAATACTACTATAATAATATTGTAAAGCAGCAGCGCATCGTTCAGAACAATATGCTTAACGAGGCAGAGAGGAAAAGTTCATCAGAGAAATTTGATATATTTTTAACATGTTGCAACATCTGAATTCCTTCATTCAAATAAATGAATAGTTCGTTCTGACCAAGCGATCTGATTGGACGAGAGTCACTCCATGAGTGCTGATATAGAGAATAACAGCACTGGGACTTTTAACTACATGTATCACTCCGCTTCACAGGTGTTCTATTAACCGTTAACTAGCGTCACATTAACGGTCGTTATCGATCTGAGATTGTAACAAACAAAGATGAAAATATTTCCAGAAATAACATTTGAATCAAATGATGTCTGGTCGTCAGAGGAGGATGAAGGGAAGAAGCCTGGACACCTCCAGGTGCGCTCATATGACGTCATCAGGTCAGGAAAATATGTTGCTAAGCAACAGTCCAGCATAGTCAAGTGGCGGAACTATTTGTGTTGGTGTAGACCAATGAATGATAAAATAAACAAAATTCATAATCTGTTGTTGCTTATGACTGTTGACTAAAATGGCGCCAGTTGAACTGTGTGACGTTGCTTTAATAGAGAATGATCCGTCATGTGTAATCATCTTTAAATGGTAAAGCTAATTAGCAGACAGATCTCAGTTTAATATATAAAAGTTTGGATGGTCCGAGTGAAAATAGTTCCTGAGTAACAGAGAAACACAAGGACCGTCTCAGTCTCCTCCGCTTTACTAAACTGAGTATCTATATTGTTCTATTTTTCACTTGATATGATAATAAACCGGCTACTATAAAAACTCATTATATAAATAAAGTGCCCAGATAAAGTGATGTATGGTCTGTATCCTCCTCCCTCGGTGAGTCAGCTCCTGAACTTGCTTCTATTTTTCCTTCGTTTAGTGAAGAAACGAAAGTGAAAGCACGAAGTGAATCCGGAGCCTCCGCCGCCTCGTCTCAGTCCGTCTTTGTGTTTGTACCTGACGGCGGGATGGACGGGTCCGACAGTCCGCGGCCGGTGACCGTGGAGGGAGACTGGAGTCAGGTTCAGACCAAAACCCTGAAGAACAAGCTGCAGCTTTACTTCCAGAGCAAGAAGAAGTCGAGCGGAGGAGACTGCCGGGTGGAGGTGGAGGACGGAGCCCCGAGAGCCGCCGTGTTCTTCCGATCAGAGGAAGGTGAGTCTCCGGCACGTTTCACCGCAGAGCACCGGGTCCAGGTCTCCGTCAGAGCGGGTTTAAGAGTCCAGACAGTCCGACAGAAGAGTCTAAACACTTTCCTGCAGAAACGACAGACAGGCCCGAGTCTCGCTGCGACACAGCCTGAAAATCTACACTGTAAAAAATATCATAATAAAACAACATTTAACCACCGAACAAAGACGCAAAGATTCATATTTGTATCCAGTTAAACTCATTAAATTTATCTTTAATCTTCACTTTCAACTTTCCAGCTCTGATTAATGTAGAAACTGACTTTAAAACGTCATCGGAGAGGTAAGACGTCACGTGTCAGCTCATGAAACACATTCGGGCCATTGATCTGTTGAGTTATCAACTATCAGCTAGAAGTTTTTAAATCTTACACATCCTCATCAAACAGGTCTATCAGGCAAATAAAGTTAATAAACACTGAGACATGTCATCTGACTTCCCAGCATGCACTGCGCCTCTCCAGCCACCACTCACCCCCCTCTTCCTGCTTGGTGATGTCACCCAGGTGAATCAGATGTATTGACAGATAATTGATCTCTTTACTTTGAGTCTCTCAGACTGTTAACAAACAAGAAGTCCAGGTCACCTAAATGATATATTTGTCCTTTTTTTAATTTATGTATTTGTTGTTGTTTTGTTTTTTAAATTATTTTTCATAATAATAATAATAATTACTAAAAAGATTTTGTTGAAATTTTATCTGTTTCTTTTATTTAAGAACTGAAGTAAGAAAAAACACATGTAATATAATAATGAGCGTTAAACCAGATGCTGCTTTTACACATTTCAATTTAAATTAGTCTGAAATCAGAGGTGGAAAATAACTAAGTACATTTACTTAAATACTTTACCCAGGTATAATTTTAACTACTTTTATTATACTGTAATATATTAATTTTATTCTACTTTAAACCTTTAAAACATTTATCTGACAGCTGTAGTTGCTGAGTTTAAAAACGTTATATTTTAAATCGTATTTAAAATGAGTAAAGTTATCTCCACTGCAGCCAACAGTAATATTAATACGCTGCTAAAATGTTAATGTATCAATAATAATAATTCAGTAACATAAACTGACGAGGGCCCAGGTTGCTGCACAGTGAGGACTTTTATTTGTAAGGGAATATTTGTTTTTATTTAAATTGTGATACTGTTACTTTTACTTCATTAAATATCTGAATTCTTGGACTTGATTTAAACGTAAAAAAAAAAAAAAAGATGTGTTTCCATGGTAACAGTCAACAACACCTGCCGGCCAGTGTTTCCATTAAAAAAGTGGAGTTAATGTCAAAAGTGAGCAGAGTGGTCGGCAGTGTGCGGGCTGTTTCCTGTTCTTTCAGGTTTTGACTCAGATTCTCTGAGGCTTCACATCTGTGTTGTTAGAGTTGTTAGCTGCTGGGAAATGAAGCAGGACTCTGTTGTTGGCTCTGGTTGCAGTGAGACAGCGAGTCCTCGCGAGGGAGAACCATGAAATCAACGTGGAGAATCAAACCATCAGGTTACGGCTTCTTTCTGCTACAGTAAGTCGAGTTTTCATTTAAACCATCAACATGTTGTTTGTTCAAATTAACACTGATACTTCTGATTCCACTGCTGTTTTCATTTAGTGTTTATTCCACTTTAACACGCAGTGAACCCCACCATCCAAACCTTGCAGGATTTGGTTTCTCTGAGTGTTTTTACCTGAAATCTGCTTTATTTTTATTGGATCACTCAGAAAACAGTCAGCCAATCAGAAGAGAGGCTCAGAGCCTCCTCTCTTCTGATTGGCTCACCGACCTGTTGTTACTAGAGCTCCAGAGAGAAGCCTGAGAGAGGAGATGTAAAACTACACTGAGATGCTTTTTATATCAACACTTCAAATAAAACACAGAAGAAGAAGAAAATATGAAGCTTTAAATAAATGTTTCTGTCTCATATTGATTGAAAAGCATCTCCGAGTTTCTCCTCTGGTGATGTTCAGGTCAGTTACAGTGGAAACGCCCTGCAGCAAGTGATTATCAGGGTGGGACGGCGTCAGGAAAAGGGAGGGTAGCTGGTTCTATGTTGGGAGAATGGAGGAGGGTGATTCTACTTTTTAAATAAAACAAGTCTGATCCCATATTTGTTTTATTTATTAATTCATTTTAATGCAGTAAAACTCACTTGTGGCTGCAGTTTCTCTGTGTCGTAATGTTTACTGTAAACATGTGGAGATGTAGTTACCTTCGTTTGGAGGTTCTTGTTTTTCACTTGAGTATCGCTAGTTTCTGTTAGTGATATTTAAAGTTACTGATGATTTTTACGTATAAAACAAAAACAGGTATAAATGCTGATAAAATACAATGTTCTGGTTGTGACTTTATACAAATCAGGATCTAGTTGTGTCACGTTTCAGATGTCTGAGATCTGAGATCATGACTTTTATACAGGACTTTTATACTGAAATTACATTTTGAATTCAGCACTTTTATTTGTAACAGAATATTTTTTTATTTAAATTGTGATAATGATACTTTTACCTCAGTAAAATATCTTAATTTTTGAACTTATTTTACACCTAAAAAGTTGTGTTTGAAAAACACAGTTGTAATGTCAAAATTTGAGTGGTTAAAGCTCAGAAACTGAATCCAGATCAGTGAATCATCTTTGATTTCTCTCTCTTTCTTTATCTGGTGGCCCTGTGGAGGGGCCCGACCCTTAGGTTGGGTACCAGTGCACTAAATAAAGTGTATATGACCTAGTTGAAGCGGCTACAACAGTAAAATGACTGAGGATCAATGATCTGATCAGAGAATCAGGTCAGTGTTTGTACAGTGTTCACTGGTCTGAGTGCTTCCTCCACCACTGGGCGGGAGGGGGTGGAGCCTCCTGCTCCTGTTATGACATCACAAGTTTCCACTTCTGTGATCAACATGTTATAAATTCCTGAATGTGTGATGGCAGTAGGAGGTTTGGCCTGGACTCCATGTTCTTCTTCTGTGGTTTCAGGGTGTGGATCCACATGAGGTTTACAAGACAATAAAAACAACATGGAGGTCACATGTTGAGGCAGCAGCTCTTCCTACTGTTCTTAACGTCATTGTTAGCTTTTTATGGATGAAACATTCAGTCAAATGAAAATATTTCAAACATCTTCTGACACATTTTGAAGGTGTAAAATAAAGCTGAGTTTAAATCAACTCCAGTTTATAAAGGTCAGATCATGAATATCAGCTGATTTGTTAAAACGGAGCTAAAACTCACTGAACTGCACTGAGGTCAGTTTTATGGAGAGCTGTTAAACATTTACTGACTGAGCAGCAGTAAAAATATCCTTTATGTATTTTATTCATCATCAGATACCAGACAGTCAGTTTTGTTTTCACAGAACCTGGAAAACCTGATACTGACTTTGTCTCTTAACACATTTTATTGTATTAAGTTATTTGTACAATGTGGTTGTTGTGAGTTTGTTCTCGATGGTTTCAAAGCTTTTATCCACCAGCTGCACACGATAAAATAGCTGAATTTAAAGGGCCATACCTGTGTTTTTGGTTTATTTTAGTTCATCAAAGGAGTTTAAGTTTCAAGCTTATTTTGATTTATTTAATTTAATTTGATTCATTTTTTTTGCAGTGTTTACAGTCTGCATGTTAAACAGATGTTTATTCCTCTTCATGTTTTCATTCTGTGTGACTGAATCATTACTGTTCTTGTCTCCTTAGAGCACGACGAACAGCAACGATGTCTCAGGTAAAACTCACCTCTGAACTTCTTCTTCTTCCATGTTCAGGGTTTTATGGCCGCTGTCTTTTTAACGTCATGCTGATGTAAATGATCAGTCAGGTGTTATCCTGTATTTTTCTTATTGTCAAGATTGTCAACCAACAGGAAGTTAGTCCGACTCTCAACACTTTCTGGCTTCCTGTCTGTGGCTCTCGGCTCTGAGCTCATTGGTTTCGTCTGAAAACATTAATCTTTGAAAACACCTCACAAATATATTGTTTCATTTCTATAGTTTTTATCGAGGAAATAAGCGTTTGTTGGGGCATGTTCAGTATCACCGGGCTTCATGTGCGTCCCGTCAGGAGCTGATGCAGTCGAGGTTTTACCGAACAAACTCATCAAAAGAAACTTGTCTTTACATTATTTTACAAAATAGAAATATTTATTTATAAACAATGTAGATTCTACAAAATTTAATTTAATATTTGGCTCTTTTTTGGTTTGAATGAGACGTGTTATCGTCATGGTGATAGTTTATTTCTCCTCAGATGATCACGTCTTGTTTAGTTGTGTTCATGTTGCAGATGAATAATTTGAACTGGACAAACCTGATTCTCTTGATCCTCAGATTCATCCACAGACTCAAAGACTCAGAGGTCGGAGGTCGAACCTGGAGCTGGAGCTGCTGCAGCAAACACACAGGGTAAAAACACACTGTGTTTGAATATAAAGAATACACAGTAATGATAATAATAATAATAATAATAATAATAAACTTATTTTGTATAGCACCTTTCATACATAGTTGCAGCTCAAAGTGCTTTACAGAAGAAAATCAAATCAAAAACACAAGTAACAGCAACAGACATAAGGGACAATATAATAAATAAAAGGGCAATAAAATAATGTAAAAAAAACTGTTTAAAAAAATAGAAAAAGGAATAAAAGAAATAAAAAATGTATCAAGTAAAAGCAAAGTATAGTTAATTAAAATCATAAAAATAGTTTTTCAGCTGTTTCTTAAAACTCTGGAAGTAAGTGAAGTTTTTATAACTGGTTTATTTTTTGTTTCAACAATTACCTGATGTTTTTCCAGGAATTTAATAAAAAAATTATTATTATTAATAATAATAATAATAATAATAATAACAAGTTCCACTTACTTGGTTTTTCCAGAGTTTTCAGCCACATTGCTTGTCCTTCATCAGAGGATAGAGTTTTCTGGAAAGAAGTATATTATTTAATTTTATATTTTATTGCATTGTTATCAGAGCTGTTATGTGTTTATGCTGCATCTTTGCATGAATATATAATATATAAAAAATTAAGTTATTATTATTTTTGTTTCTAATTTGGCACAGTTATACAATGCAATGAGAAGTTTTTCAATTACAAATTAATAATTAAAGCAAATTAACTTGGGTTTAAAAAGAACAACAAAATAAACTTTCCTCATAATTAATATTAAGTTTTATGGCTTTTCCCAGGAATCTTTCATAAAATATTTGGGCATTAACAGGAAGTAACAGACCTGTGAAATATATAATTACACAACTTTTGGTTGTTGTTAATCTTTGCATTATATACGTGCTAAATATAGTTTTTGTAAAATTTTCAACTTTCAATTTCAACGTCAAAAATCCCAAACAAATACACATAACTAAATGAATGATGCAGAGAAGATAAAGCAGGTTTTTTTTACTTGTCGCATCTCAGACTCAGAGTCCGTCCAGAGTTCTGCAGTGGTGCTGGAGAACGTGTCGGACAACATGTGCAGGGATCTGCTGATGATGCTGGTGGAGAACGTCTCAGGGTCGGACGAGAGCGGCTTCAGTCTGGAGATCATCTGGGAATCCAACAGAGCCGTGGTCGCCTTCACCAAGCCGGAAGGTAACGGATGACACACTGTGTTACTGTCACCAGGACAGATTCTTTTACACAGAGTCTGAGACTAAATGAGTCACGTTTAATGTGAAAGACTCCAAACTGAAAAACATCAGGAGCTGACTTTTTTTTTTATTGTGGACAATTTTGGAAAAACTTGACCTGAAGTAATAAGGAAGGCAACACCAAGAAAGTACTGACTAATATCAAAGAAACGAGAGACTAATTTAATAACATCGTTAACTAATAATAAGCAGATACATAGATTTATTCATCCCCCAGGGGCAATTCAAGTGTCCAGCAGCTCAATAGTAGTAGGAATAATAGTTAATAATACTTAATAATAGACAATAATAGTTCAATACTCTAGGTCATGAGCCACTGCCTTTGGCTGAGGTGTTATACAGCCTAAATATATGTAAATAAAGTATGTGGTATATTTGATAAACCAACCACTGTTACAACAAAATGGGAACTGTACCAGAGCTCGCCTGATGAAGGATGTTTGGGGTAGAAAATTCCAATATCAATATATTGAGCAATAATCTTATTCTATATACAACGGGTTGTTACAGGTTGTTGGTCCATTTGTTGTGGAAATGATGGGGTTGTTGTTTAGTAACTTTCCAGCAGCGTTTTTCACAAACGCGACGGTCACAGATACTGCTGATACTACTGTAAATAACTACGGTAAAGAGTGGACTGGGAGCGCGCTCTGCTGGACAAACTGTGTAATGACACAGTTTCTAAATGATGTCAAGCATGTATTTCTGCATATGTTCTTTTAAAACTGCAAAATATCAGACAACATTCACTCCGATACCGATAAATATCTGTGATTGTCTCTGAACTGTACATGAACATGCAGACGGCAATGTGCACGTGGACGTCGTGCAAACAGACGTGAACAGACGTTTCAAAGCACAGAAGAAGAGGAGCTGGGTCGTGAAGTTTCATACTAAAATTATTCTTCGATTACAGATTGATTGCATGTGTTGTCCTTCAGTCTGGATACTGTTTCTCCCTCCTAACGGTGGCTCTGTTTTTGAAGCCTGTAACAGCCTGGTTTCATCCTGACGAGCCTGTTCCAGGCTGAAAGGAGTAATGTGGAGTGTTTTGCAGATGCAGAGAAGTTCCTCACTGTGAGTCAGACCAGCAGCAAGATGCAGAAACAGGGACTGACCGCTCGACCGCTGGAGGCAGCAAAGAGCGTCCGAGTGGAGAGGCTTCATCCGACTGTGGTCAAAGGTACACAAACTGTTCACACACTGTTTGACCTCAAGTGTCTGGGGGTAGAGGGTGTAGGTGTATTACATCCCACTAGTTTATTAAATACATGTTGTCGTCACACAATCCTCAAAAGCAGCCTGCAGGAGGAGGAACTGCTGTTTTACTATCACATGAACTAATGATTATGTAAGAAAAAATTTGATTATACAATAAATTTTTCTGCAGTTCTGTGGTTGAAACTTATGGTAAGAAATCCCAGGAATCATGACAAAGTAATAATGATATCACAAAATAGTGATTTTAAAATCTCAAGAAATCCTTCAACAGCTTTGAAAATTTTCTTCAACAATAAAATCTCTCTCAAGGATCAAAGTGTCGATTAATCTTTATTAGGTCTCTTACTGCACTGAAGTCTTAGTGTTGTCTCTCATTTGTAAGTGACTTTGAATAAAAGCTGGATAGTGGTTTGGAAAATCACCAAACTCTTTGTTACTAGTTTTCTTTAGAACGACTTTCATCCACAGAGACCAGAAGAAAATGTAGATATGTCAATGTGACATTTTAAATCTGACAATGATCTCACATTCAAGTTGATGATCACATCATGTGTTGGTTTACATCACATTTGCCATATTATACTGAGCAGCTCTAGTAACTCAGGTGTTTCTGGATAGTTGAAAGCCTTTTCATCGTTTAAGTTTTCTGTCTTTGTGATTAGAAACTCTGTTTCTGTTTTTTTTTAGACATGTTGGATCTGTACTTTGAGAAGAACTGGACTCTACCGGACAAAATCATCATGATCCAGAATGAACAGGCTGCCATTGTCACTTTCAGTGACCCTAAAGGTTTTAAATTTAATTCTTATTAGGCAAAGTGGATTCAGTGTGTGTAGAGGTACTACAGTAAGTCTAAGGCTTGAACATGCTGACCAGCTTTGAGAGGCCTTAAAGACCAAACTACAAGAAATACACTATTTGCCAAAAGTATTTGGACACCCTCATAATATATCCACATTATAGTTGAGTCTTTGATTGCACCACCATGGACATTGATATGTATAGCCTCCACTCTTCTGGTCTCAGTCTCTCCACCAGATGTTGAACCAGCTGCAGGGATTTGCTCCCATTCAGCCACAAAAGCATCAGTGAGGTCCAACGCTGGTGTTGGTAATGAGATCTGGCTCAGTCAGTGTTCCAGTTCATCCCAAAGGTGTTCCATGGGTATTGAGATCAGGGGACTGTGCAGACCAGTCAAGTACTTCTACAAATTACACAAAGTACACGCTCTAAAGTATGTGCTGTAGTATTAAGATTCCTCTTCACTGCAAGAGTGAAAAATCGACAGCGAAATATTGACCAAAAGTAAGACCAAAGGACAGTGTGGGTGTCCATGTACTTTTGGACATATAGTGCATCCCGTGACCTGGACAACTGAATCTTCATAGAAACTTCAAAGAAAATCATTATTATTTATTTGTAGTAGAATAACCATTTACCTGAGCTTTCCTCCTTTATTCCCTGTATTGCTACAGTTGTGGAAAACATTTGCATAAAAACAGACTACATGATAGGCTCCACCCCTGTCAAGATGTATCCATACCACGAGTCCCTGGGCACCGCCTTGTACGGCAAAGAACGACCAACATGGAAGATGCCCGATCCCGTCACTGAGGGTGTTCACCATACCGTCTGGAAATTCCTCCTGATGAAGAAGCAGTTAAAAAGCATCAACGATCAGATGCGTCCGTACTTCTGCAGTGTGGATTTGGATAATCCTGAGGTGAAGCTCAGCCCTCTCCCAAACTTTTTGAGGCAGAAAGATCTGACTGCAAAACATGTAGAAAACTGGGCAGGTACCGCTCAAGAGGCCTTCCGTAAGCTGATGTCTCACTACACCGCCTTTGAATGTCCAGCGAATGCACCTGCATGGAAAGCTGCAGAGAAAGAGGTCCGTTCGGTTGTCAAGGAAGACGCTTACCTGGTGCTGGATGCACCCAAGGGGGCTTTGATGGTGGCTGGCCGAGCTGACCATATAAAACAAATCAAAGCTCCTGTGGAAAACCTTGTTCTTAAAGCCATGAGTCAGATCGAACGGCAGAGAAATGGTCTCTCTGAGGTGATGAGTTTATCCCCTGCAATGTTCTACATCCTGAAGCAGGACGGGCTGCAAAACGCTGCACTCAACATTTCCCCTGACATGAACCTCTCCTACGATGAAGGTTCTCAGAAGTTAACCATTTCAGGACTCCGTGCAGAGGTTTTCCAGGCTAAAGCATGGATCTTGGAGAGGAATGTGCATATGAGTAAAAAACAGCTGAATATCCCCACAGGTCTTCTAGACTTTCTTAAGGCAGTGGATCCCATGGACATGTCACAGGACCTGTTCACATCTCAAGGGATCAGCGCCATCTACAGCATTGACAACAAAGGGGTTTTACTGTTGGGGAGTTCTGACAGCATCCTCGCTGAAGCAGAGAGTAGGATGAAGATGGTTTTAGATGTGAACACTCTGGATGTGGAAGACCAGGAAGTTCTGAAACTTCACAACTGGATGGACCTGAACCAACAACTTCTGGATGCCTACAACTTCTCAAAGAAGAAAACCGTGGACATTCAGATCCACCCAGAGAGAAGAGACAAAATAACGGTGGCTGGCTTTAAGACTCCAGTCAAAGAGGTCAGCTCCAGCCTCAAGGAATTCATTGTGAACTACTCACAAGTTAAAGAAACCGTTCGTGTTGAGTCCTGTGCTGTGGTTCAGTTCGTTGAGAAGAAGAAATCACATGATTGGTTCAGTATTGCCAAAGCTAATGGCGTGACAGTCGATTTTGACCCAGAGCGACCAAGATTCATCATCGCCGGGGCTCGTCTTCACGTTCAGAAAGCCAAGTCCTGCTTTCAGGAACTGACCAGCACTCTCTTCACTGACAACTTCATTGTTGACAAGCCTGGAGCTAAGAAGTATTTCCAGTCATATGGAAGCATGTTCCTGTCGACAATAATGACAGAGTTCAGCTGTGTGGTGATGCTTCGTCCAGAGAATCAAGAGGATGAGGAGGAGGAAGAGAACTACGAGGAAGAAAGTGGCCTTTGTTACTGCAAAGTGAAGACCACCAGTGGAGTTCTGGTTTCAGTTAGCAAGGCGGATATCTGTAGCTTCAGCGTTGACGCAGTGGTTAATGCAGCTAACGAGGAACTACAGCACATTGGTGGCCTGGCTTTGGCACTGCTCAAGGCTGCAGGACCACAGCTGCAGAAGATCAGCAACGACTATATTTCCAAAAATGGAAAACTACGCCCAGGTGACGCCATCGTAACAGATGCATGTAACCTGCCTTGCAAGTATGTCGTTCATGCAGTTGGTCCACGTTTCTCTGACTCTGACAAGAAGACGTCAGTGTCACGTCTGAAGCTTGCTGTTAAAGAAAGTCTGAAACAAGCAGAGATGGTAAACTGCTCCACCATCGCCCTGCCCGCCATCAGCTCAGGTGTGTTTGGTTTTCCTGTTGACCTCTGTGCTGAGACCATAGCTCAGGCGGTGCAGGAGTACTGCGACAGTCCACGAGGTCCGGGATCGTTGACTCAGATTCACCTGGTGGATAACAACAACAACACCGTCGGAGCCTTGGCCAAAGCTGTCAACCAAGAGTTCATTGACCTGGGACCTACCATGACAGCACCAGAGCAGGCAGGCGGGAAAGGCGCTTGGGCTTCAGGGTAATTTGTTTACTACACTGAACATTTACTGTTGATCAGAACATACTGCAAGGATTTAACTGAATAGTTAAACATTCTGTGAAATACACTTTGAGTAAGATATTCAGATTGACACCACTCGTATGGTACATATGGAGCTAGCTTAGCTTAGCATGAAAACTGGAAACAGGGGAAACAGCTATCCTGACTCTGTCCATAAGTAACAAAATCCACCTAAAAGAAGAAAAACAGAAATGTAATCCACCAAGTAGCTGTTTTACATTGGGGTCATACAACCAGCACAGACCTCAGGAAGTTGCTGCTCCCATCACCTTTAAAATGACAAATTTGTGTTTTTACACTTTGTATTTTTATGAATTAGAAAGACAGATCTAATGCGTTGATTGTTAACTTTAGAGGTGCTGGTAAGTGAATGTTTTTACTTTTGGACTTTTAGCATTTTCTGGGTTTAATGAACAGTAGACTAGAGATTCCACTGTCAGTTGAGGACTCCAGAGAAGCTGCGTTCAGTCACTGCTTTATGTTTCTACATCTGTTCAATAAACAAAATGTAAATCAGACAGTCTGGTTTTATTTTATTATTCTCTTGCCAGTGGACATCAGCGGGGTCGAGGTCGAGGAGGCGGAAAAGGAGGAGGAGGAAGAGGAGGAAGAGGAAGAGGAAGAGGAGGAGGAGGAGGAAGGGGAGCTGAATTTCATGCGGGCCAGCAGGGTAACAGGGGAGGTCACAGCCCCAGGGGACACACCAGGCCTGAGGGACATGGAGAACATGGAGGACATGGAGAACATGGAGGGTAAGGTTCTTCATCTTCTTTTCTTTTCTTTAATCTCTCTTTTCTGGTTTCTGTTTCTTCTTCTGTGTTCTTAATTTTGAATTAGTTCTTCAGTGAAGTATTTAAGACCACGTTATTGATTGTCTGAGATATCTGTTATTCCCAGTCCATCATAGGATCAGGAGCAAAAACACCAAAATGTAAGAATAAGGACTAGAAGGAGCAGCATTGTGAAGGAACTCTCACTGATATTTTTTCTGGAGGGCCAGATGTGGCTGGTACCACTGACCTAACTTTTTACTTTCTGAGTAACAAGCTTTGGACGCAGTAATGCTGACTGTACTCGCTGTGATGACATCAGTCCTGTCCTCTGATTGGCTGCAGGCCGGGCAGGATGGAGCAGACCACCGCTGAGGGTCTGAAGATTGTTCTCTGCAAAGGAAACATTCAGGACCAGAGGGTGAGTACTGACCCTGCAGTCATTTGATCATTTGAATAATGTAGTTTATGATGAACTGCAGTATTGTGCGGATGTGGATACTAACACTGAGGGCAGTACTTTGGCACTAAGAATGCAAGACGTATGTATTTGATTATTTTGTGTTAGCAGCAGGTGACACAAGGTGAGAAACAGTGAGAACTAAAAGTTTGAGGGGACTTCTTTCAGCAGGTGAAGTCATCTGACTCCCTTTATTTCTGTTGAGCATCGTATTGTTGAACAAGAGTGTTTGTCTACAACACCCTTGAATATCCATTTGATGATGCAGCCATGGGTAGCCAGTGTAGGTCGATGAGTAGCGGAGGGACATGTGACCTTTTGGGCTGATCAGAGACCAGACAGGCTGCTGCATTATGGACCACTGTAAGGGTTTCTGTGTGCACAAAGGAAGAGCTCTGCAGTAGTCGAGGCAAGAGATAGAGACTCTGGCCTTTACTGGTCGTTTCACATTAATGTTCTGTTGATGATATAACTGATCCTTTCAGCTGTTGTCCTGACCTTGTGTACAACGCTGTGATTCTGATCCACAGACCGATGTCATCGTCAACACCATCTCAGAGAACATGAATCTGACCCAGGGAGCTGTTTCCAATGCGATCCTGAAGGCAGCCGGGTCCGGTCTGCAGTTGGCTGTTCGGTCCGAAGCCGGGGTGGCCACGCTGCAGCACGGCAACGTCATCATCACCGACGGCTTCAAACTCACCTGTCAGAAAATCTTTCACGCTGTTTGCCCTTTCTGGGACAACAGAGGAGGGCAGGCAGAGGAGGTGAGAGGTTTCACTCAGGGGGTTAAAAACACAGCGCGGTGATACACCAGTACAGAGCGACTGAGAAAGATTTAAACGAATATTACGCTGAAAAATAAAATGCTCAGCCTTGTATAGACTTGAGGATCAGTTTCCTTCAGTTTTTATGTCCAGAGGCTTCTTGTACCTTCAGCTTTTTATCTAAGAATATTTTCTCACACAGTTGTTCATCTTTTGATGCATCAGAGTGTTTCACGTCCCTCTAACACTCAAACTGGTCTTTACTTCAGGAACCCTGGAGGTCTGACATAACTCCCTCTACTTTGCACTGAATTGTTTGGTGGTGACTCTTTAGTATCACCCAGTGGCAGCATTCGTAACTACAGCTACCCAATACTCCTCCACTGAGAACGAGTGGAAGAAGTAGCAGTACTGCAATTTTAAAACACTCAATTTCAATTAAAAGTCCTGCGCTTGTCACTTGTAAACAGTTTTACTAGCAAGACAGTAAAAACCAGTAAAAATAAACATAATTCAGAAAAATAGCCCCCATGAATTACACTATATATTATTGTATTATATAACTCATGCTTTACTGTGTAAGTAGCATTGTGGTGTTGCAGCCCGGGATGATGGAGCTAATTTAACACACATATACTGGTGGGTAGTTTAACCTACGACAGAACGTCATGTTTTAAAAGCTCATCATATGTTTGGTTGGTAAAATCGGTAAAATAAGTAGTAACTAAAGTCGTCAGATAAATGTAGTGAAGTCAAGAAAAAGAAAAGTAAATGTTTGCCTCTATAAATGGAAATGTTCCAGTGAAGTTTTACATCAGTGAATGTACTTTGTTAATTTCCACTGCTCAGAGCAGCAGAGTAGTTCAGGGGAATTTAAACCAACAACTTTCCAATCACAGGATTATTTGGCATCTTTCATCGTCCATATATATAGTTCACACTCACTGAATTCACTGTGCAGCTTGTTGACCTCTCAGTCTCACTCGTTCTCTCTGCGTCCTCTTTCTGTCTCAGGCGTTGATAACCATCGTCAGATATTGTCTGGAGGAGGCGGAGAAGCTTAAGATGGCGTCCCTGTCCTTCCCGGCCATCGGTACGGGAAACCTGAGCTTCCCCAGAGACGTGGTGTCCCAGAGTCCTGCTGAGGGAGATCCACTCCTTTCAGTCGGCAGAAGTAGTCCGCGCCATCTGGAGACAGGTGGCCATCGTCGTCCACCCCAGTGACAACCAGACTGTGGACGTAAGGTCCGGTTCATGTTTAAGTGCTCATCATGTCCTGAGAATGAAAACTGTTCCTTTTAAACTCTGTTTATGTACCGAAACCAAAGAATTAGACGCGTTACATACTGTACGTTAGCAATACTGCTGCTGCTGCTTCCACTGTTAAGTTCTGTCACATGATGGAGTGACAGTGTCCTCAATGATGTCACTTGAGTCAGCGTTGGTTGGGTCTGAAGACCAGAAGTCTGAAAAGTACAAAAATCTGGAGGTGTGGAGATAGAAAGAAGTGAACTCACCTGCCCTCTGTAGCCCCGCCTCCAGGCTACATTAGCTGCTACTAGCATAAACACACCCCAATCTCACAACCCAACTGTCTGCAGCCGAGTTGCATTGTGGGTAAAGTAGGCACAAGGAAGGAGAATGGATGGACTAAAAAGAATGATTTCTCTGTCCATCATGAGTCTGACAGTGTTGTAGGAGTGCAGCATCAAGTGGAGCTCCAAGTCTTTGCAAAGCAGCATGTTTACTACTGGAAAATCAACCTGTATTAACATAAGATGTCAACATATTGTTCGTTCAGTGTTTCACCAGGGAAGTTCAAAGGTCAGACTGGTCAGAGAAACGTCCAACACGAAGCACAGAACTTTAACGAGTCACCGGTTCACAAATCCACCGGCCAGTCACAGCAGTCCTCAGGTAAGAAGCCTCCAACACCTGTCGTTTATAACCTTTACTCATCAGCAACAGAACGACTGAGAACAAATCAAATCAACACAAACAGAAGAAGTCTGTAAATAGAGATTTGAGAATGTCACGGGTCAGATTAGTGAACCCAGCTGAGACAATCTGTGGTGATCTGTTTTTTTCAGATGTGTTCAGAACAACAAAGTAAATGTTCACCTACATCTTTCTATTGACTCATCTACGTTCACGAGCTACTACGATTTTCATTTTAAACAAAAAACAATCTCTGTTTTAGCTCCGTATCAGAAGCAATCTCCTAACACACCGACACTGAAAACAAACGCATACATGAGCAATCATGTACACTGAGCGTGTGCGAGCCGGTAAAAACAGGAAGCAGATCGGCTAAAGTTGATTGGTTGCAAGAAAATACTATGAACCAGGAACAATTAAAGACAGTTGTAGGTTAAAATATAGAATTAAACTGAACAACAGCTGCTAGCAAAGACAACAAGGTCAGAAACACTTGTATTTTTCATTATTCGTGGGTGTGACATCATCGTTTCCAAAGGTCTCAGTTTCTGTCCGTCCAGACTAACAACACAACCCAGAGTTTTCAAACTAAAACACAACCCTAGAGTTTTCAAAAATAAAACTGGGCCAGCAGCGTTTCTGATGTGAAGTGTCTGTTTGTCAGTGCTCAAAAACCTGGGAGTCATGTGGACGGGAGGTGAAAACATAGAAAAAGAGATGAGCTTTGCCTTCTGTCTGACGGCTTCAGGGACAAAAACAGTGAGAGTATACAATGCTGTTAGAGAGGCAGTGTGGACA